GTAGCTGAATGAATAAGAAAACAAGAACCATATATATGCTATCTCCCAGAGACCCATCTCAGAATGAAAGATACACGCAGGCTAAAGTAAAGAGATGAAAAAAGAGATTTCATAGAAATGCAAAGGAAAAATAAGCTGGGATAGCAATACATATATCCAACAAAATAGACTTTAAAACCAAGAGTAAGAGACAAAGATGACACTACATAGTAATATAGGGAACAACCCAATAATTTCTGAACCCAGTAGAAGTACCTAAATATGTAAAGCAAATCTTGATGGACAAAAAGGGAGAGATCAACAGAAATACAGTCCTAGTGGGAAATTTTACATCCCAGTGACTTCAATGGATAGATCTTCCACACAGAATATCAACAAAGAGAGAGCAGCCTTAAATGACACACTAGGTCAAATAGATTTAATTGATATCTGCAGAGCATTTCAAAGCAGCAGAACATATATTCTTTTTGAGTGCACATGGAACATTTTCTAGGATGAACTACATGTTAGGACCCAAAATAAGTATCAGGAAATTTAAGTCTGAAATCATATAAAGCATCTTCTCTGATAATAATGCTATGAAACAGGAAATTCTGATCAAGATGGAGGCATAGGTAGACACACTTTGCCTCCTTACGCCACCACCTCAAGACAAAAAACACACAGAACTGACAGACAATTGAACTGTATGGAAGTCTGACAACCAAGGATTTAAAGAAGGCATATTCATCCAGATGGGTAGGAGGGACGGAATCATGGAGTCAGGGTAGAGAGGACAATGTGTGGTGCAGAGAGGCAGTGGTGGCAGTAGAGGTGAAATAGACAGTCCCAAGTTTATGTGTGGTGGTTATCTATCACATAATCACAAATCAGGAGGGATACTTTGAGAGCCAGCAATCCCAGACCCAGGGCAAACCACACAGTCCAAGGTTCCAGTGCTGGGAAGATAAAGCTTCATAACTCTGGGCTGTAAAAACCAGTAGGGGTCTGGGTGGTGAAAGAAACTGCAGTTTTCTTAGTATAATTCATTTAAAGGGCCTGGACAGACTTAGAACATATACAAACCTACCCACTCTGGGAATCACCACCAGGGCAACAACTAGAAGTCACATACAGGACGGGTGAAGTGAGTGGAAATGGGGCAAGTGCCAAGAAAAACTCTAGAAAGCCAGGCAGTGGCATTGTCCCCACTCCCTAACCCTAACCCTAACCCTCCCACTACACAGAGACACAAAGTGGTGAAGTGAGCTGCCTTGACTGGTGAATATCTAAGACTCTGCCCCATACAACTTAACAGGTGCTCTAAGACAAGGAGTCAAAGCCGCTTTACCTAATACAGAAACAACCACAGGGAAGCTGCCAAAGAAATATGGCCCAAATAAAGCAGCAGAACTAAACCACAGAAAAAGAACTAAACAAAACTGATATAGCCAACCTATTGGATGAAGAGTTCAAAACACTGGTGATAGGATGCTCAGAGAATTCACTGAGTATGGCAAAGACATAAGGAAGAAATGAAGGTTACACTAAATGAAATAAAGAAAAATTCACAAGGAACCAACAGTGAATGGAAGGAAGCCAGGATTCAAATCAACAATTTGAAATATAAGGAGAAAATAAACATTCAACCAGAACAAAAAGCAGAAATAAAAACTTAAAAAAAAATAAGGATATCATAAGACAACTCTGGCTCACCTTCAAAGGTGCCAACATCTGAATCACAGGGATGCCAGAAGGAGAAGAGGAAGAGCAAGAAATTGAAGCTTTATTTGAAAAAAACAGTGCAAGAATACTTCCCAAATTTGTGAAAGAAATAAACATACAAGTCCAGAAAGTCAGAGAATCCCAAATAAGTTGGACCCAAAGAGGACCACACCAAGACACATAATAATTAAAATGCTAAAAGTTAAAGACAAAGAGAGAATATTAAAAACAGCAAGAGAAAGGCAGAGAATTACCTACAAAGGAGTTCTCATAAGACGATCAGCTGATTTCTTCAAAGACACTTTGCAGGCAAGAAGGGACTAGCAAGAAGTATTCAAAGTGATGAAAAGCAAGGACCTACAACCAAGATTACTCTATCCAATAAAACTATCATTTAGAATGGAAGGGCAGATAAAGTGCTTCCTAGATAAGGCAAAGTTAAAGGAATTCATCATCACCAAGCCATTATTACATGAATGTTAAAGGGACTTCTTCAAGAAAAAGAAGAAGTTCAAAACTATGAACATTAAAATCACAACAAACACAACTATCAACAATTGAATCTAAAAAACAAAAACAAACTAAGCAAACAACAACTGGAACAAAATCATAGATATGGAGGTCATTTGGAGGATTATCAGCTGGGAGATGTAGCATTCAACTACAGTGGAAAGAAGAAACAAGAATTTTAAAAAATGAGGAGAAGCTTAGGAACATCTGAGACAACTTTAAAGATTCCAAGGTCTGTATAATAGGGGTACCAGAAGGAGAAGAGGAAGAGCAAGAAATTGAAAACTTATTTGAAAACATAATGAAGAACTTCCCCAATCTAGTGAAGAAACTAGATATGCAAGTCCAAGATGCTCAGCAAGTTCCAAAGAAGTTGGATCCAAGAAACACACCAAGTAAACTAGTGATGGCTAGTGATGCTATTAAGGTCCTCACTAAGATCCTTGAGCATCCTTATAAACAGTGCTTTGAACTCTGCATCTGATAGATTGCTTATGTCCATTTTGTTTAGTTCTTTTTGTGGAGTTTTGATCTGTTCTTTCATTTGGGCCATGTTTACTCCTCATTTTAGCAGCCTCCCTGTGTTTGTTTCTATTTATTAGGCAGAGCTGTTTTGGCTCTGTGTCTTTGTAGTGCAGTCTAATGTAGTAGGTGTCCTATAGGGTCCAGTGGCATAGCCTCCCCTATCACTCAAGCTGGGTACTCGAGGTGTGCCCTTTCATGTGGGCTGAGTACACCCTCCTCTTGTAGTTTATCCTTGGTTGCTGTTGGCAGATCAATGGGAGGGATTTACCCAGGCCAGTGAGCTGCAAGGATTCACTGTGACCACTAACCACCTATCCCCACTGTCCATGGAGGTTCAGCTGTGCCGGGGTAGGGTGGTGTTGCTCCAATGTGGTCTGTAGCTGTCCTATGGGTATGCCTGCCCTGCTGTTTCCCGGGTGGTGGAGATCAAGGTTAACCCCTCTCTGTGTTTTGCCCAGGACCACCCTGCCTGAGCTATAAAGTAATCTGAGATGGCTCCTACTTGTGCTGGGTTTAGGATTCCCAGGTGAAGCCAAGCTGTGAGTCTAGGCTGGCTGCTGCTGGTGCTGGGCCTGGGCTCACTGAGGCCAGCTATTGCTTGTTTGATAGGATTCAGGAAGCTATTAAGCATGAGCTACCACTACCAGCAATTCATATGGAAAAGCAGCTTGGGTAGGCCTCTAAGTTGGGTGGGGCACAGTCCCTGGGGACCTCCAAGGCGGGTCAAAATGTTAGCCAGGTTGATGGAGTTTCATATATGACACCAGCTTGCTGCTCCACAGCTCTGTGGGGGGAGGGCCCAGAAGAGGGACAATGGCCTCTGCTCCCCTCAATGCCAGACAGCTCATTCTCTCCTGGCATGCCACTGGAGTCTTCCAAGCTGCCACCATGGCTCAAGAGCTCAGTGGAAGTTTGTCTGAGTAGGTGAGTCTGTTTGTGGCTTCTTTAAGAGGAACTGCCTGGGGCTCCAGAAGTTTCTTTCACCAACTCAATCCCCGATGGTTTTTGAAGCCAGAGTTGTGGTGACTTATCTTCCCTGCAGTAGAACCCTGGTCAGAGGCAGCCTGGTTTGGGGCTGGGACTTCTCGCTCCCAATATACCTATCCTGAAATTTACCTGCCACACATGTATGTGGAACCATCCAGTTTAGTGTCTGCACCCTCCTACCAGGCTGGATGGATGTGTTGTCTTTAATTCCATAGTTGTCAGATTTCTATCCAACTTGATTTCTGATGGTTCTGAATGATGGTTATTCTATATTTCAGTTGTAATTTTTATGTGGTTGTGTGAAAAGGCAAGTCATGTCTGCCTACACCACCATCTTGACCAGAAGTCTCCATTTTATGCTTTCACTATAACACTATATCTATACTTGGTTTATGTCCTGTGCAATTATTACTGAGAAATACAATATGAATTTAAAAAATCTGTCCTCACAAGCATATTAACAAATGGCATACATACAAAGTAAAATGGAAAATTCCAGAACTCCACTCCCATATGCCTTTCCCTGTCCAAAGTTCTCCCATAGTGGAGCACTGCCAAGGACTCATCAGAGCTCAATCTATATTACTTCTGTCCAGTTTTGATTTTCTGTAAGGTCAGGGACATTTCTGTAAGGTGGTCTCCCCATGGACCACCACAGACCTGACCCCATTAGTTTGAAAAAGGATTTTGTGCCTAAGGAGGGCAATTAACAAATTGCATTTTTCACCAAACATCAGATAACACAGGCATCTGCTCCCCTCCCCTCTTTCCAGGCCCCCCTTCCACAGCCAATTGGTCTGCTCTGATTCTGTAGAAAAGAAAACAAAAACCCTGGGCCTGAGTCCAGTATTTCCAGCCAGCCTTGTAAGGCCAAGGCCAGTTCTCAGCCAAGGGCAAGGCGTGGGAGCAGATGAGAACCAACAGGGCCTCTTGACAGAGTAGTTTCTTCTCATCCTTTCAGAGCTCATGGAGCTTCTGACAGAGCCCTTCCTCGAGGGCTCTGGAACCTTCCGGTCCCTGATAAGAGGCCAAGGTAGACTTACGCTATTTCTTCTAGTCACTGCACATTAGAGCAGAGACTAGTTGACTTTTCTTCACTACCTTCTCCCTCTCACCTTCTGTTTGGAAGCCGACCTCAGGGGAACCGCTGGCTCTCGGAGCTGGGCGGAGTCCGAGCCGGGGGCCCTGGGCCCAGATACGCCAACCCTAGCAGAGTCCACCCGCACCGCCCACTCCCCCGCGGGCTCTAGTTTCTTTTTGTTGGGAACACCCTCCCCTTTCTCTCGCTTTCCCCGCCCCCTTCTCTCTCCTCCACGAAGAAAGTTAGACCCCAGGCCTGGTGGCGTGGTGCTGATCGGACTGCGGGCTTGGCGGTGAGCGGTGAGCGGGGCGGAGCGCACGGCGCCGCCGCCGCAGCCTCAGGTGGCTGCCAAAGTTCCCGGCAGTCGGGCGCGAGCCCAGCCCGCGGTGGAGGTAGGGGCCCCGCACGAAGGCTGTTGGGGAGCAGGCTGGACCCGAGAGGAATGCGCTAGAGATCTGGCTGCGTGCCCGGCCTCCCTGGCCCCATCTGGCTGCCCCTGCGGGGGGAAGGCGCGAGGCTTTGGGCGCGGTGCTTCCTTGGCCCTAGGCGCGGCTCTGTCCAAAAGCTGGTACCGCCTGAGGGGCTCCTTTGGGTCTCGCGGGAATTCTCTCCGCGCAGCCCTCACGGAGTTGGGCCCGGAGGAAAGGCAGTAAAAAGGCTTTATAGTCACTTCTTTACTCCGAGGGGGGGGGGGGGGGGGGCGGGGGTTGGGCAGGCTGGGTTCCAGGAGAGGCCCGTTCTCAATTGGGAAGCGACATGATTCGTTTGGGTGCACTTGCTTTGTTTCTATAATATATATGTATCTATTTCAAGACTTAGATTTTTTCCTTTATTTTCCGGTCTTGTTTATCTTCTCTTAGGCTATACAATTTAACTGATTTTTTTTATTGTTGACACTATTACAGATGCCCCGTTTCCCCAACTCTCCCCTTCCTCCTAACCTTCATCACAGTGTAGTCCGTGTCCATGGGCTATGCATATATGCATATATGTTCTTTGACTAATCTCTTCCAGTCCCCCCAACTCCCTCTCGTCTGAGATCCGTCCTTCTATGCCAGTATCCAGGCCTCTGGTTTTATTTTGTCAGTTTTTGTTCATTAGAGTTCACATGTGAGTGAGATCATATGGTGTTTGTTTTTCTCTGACTGGCTTATTTTGTTTAGCATAATAATCTCCAGGTCCATCCATCTGTCGCAGAGGGTGAGTTTCTTCTTTTTTACAGCCACTAGAATTCCAGTATGTAAATGTATCACTGCTATTTTATCCACTCATCTACTGATGGGCACTTGAGCTTTTAACAGACCTTGGCTATTGTAAATAATGCTGCCACTATGAACATAGGAGTGCATATATGCTTTCTGATTAGTATTTTGAGATTCTTAGGATATATATATTCCCAGAAATTGGATTGCTGGGTCAAAAAGCAGTTCCATATTTAATTTTTTTGAGGAAACTCCGTACTGTTTTCCACAGTGGCTGCACCAATCTGCATTCCCACCAACAGTGCACTACAGTCCCCTTTTTTCCACATCATCGCCAGCACTTATTTGTTGATTTATTGATGATAGCCATTCTGACAGGTGTGAGGTGATATTTACATTACACATTTGAAATGAAGCCACTAAAACTATAATACAGTGATGTTGATTTCCCACCTAACTAAAAGGGTATGGATTCAGTACTTTAAAATTGGGTGTTGCCACAATTGGAATAGACCAAAACCCTCTATCTATGTGTCTCACATGGTTGTCTTGAAAACAGTAGCATCATTTCCAAAAAATTTGGAAAAGCCAAAACTGTCCATCATCATACTTTGACAGTGTTATGAATTTTATAGGTCAGTGACATTAGGCAAAAGAGCATGCATGGTATATTCAAAGGTGGAATAATATATAGTATTAAAACATTTGATAGCTCTAAATGTTCTAACTTGGAAATATGTTCAAAGAATATACATTAAAACACACCAAAAAATAAAATAAATGGAAACACAGAGGATATGTGTGTGTGTGTACATACACAGTAATAACATTTTGTAAATAAAGACTGAATTATATACATTCATGTTCTAATACATATTGTTTCATGTATGTTTATAAGGAAAAATGATTTTGTAGTAGGAAAAATAATAAAACACTAAATAAAGATACTGAGAGTATGATTAGTAATTTACAAAAAATAATTTCTGGATTATTATTTGTCATTCACTGTAGAAGAAATGTTTTATTCACAAAGCTTTCCATATTCTTTTCATTTACTTTCTCTTTGAATTCCTCTTTCAGCTTCTTTCTTTGAAAATACCTTTCTCTCCTTTAATATTGCTATGATGTTTCATGTAGGCACAGAGTTGAAAAGTTTTGCCTGAAGGGTTTCACAATCTGTTAACTTCTTTATAAACAAGAAATTCAGGACTGTTCATATTCTATCTATATTTTAGCAGCATTGTTCTAAAAGTATTCATTCTTCAGAGTGAGGGAGAGATGCTAGTCTTTAAAAAGAAATCATTTAAAACAACTACAAAAATTACAGAATGCATGGCAAAAATGAAGTAAATATAAAAGACAAATTTTGAAAAAAATTCATAAAATAAAGTTCTGATACCATTTATATAAACAACACAAAAAAATTTAAGAAAACTAGCACACAGGAAAATTGACAAATGACAGTCAATTCTCAGAAATGAACATGCAAATGTCATTTATTATTAAAATTATTGGGATGACATTAGTTAATAGGATCATAGGTTTCAAGTATACATTTCTATGACACATGATCTGTATATTGCATTGTATATCCACCAACGAAACATCTATCTTTTATCACCATGTATTTGGCCTTCTTTATCTTTTACTACTCTCCCATCCCATTCTCTCTGGTAAACACAATACTGTTGTCTATGAATTTCAGTTTTATATCCCACACATGAGTGAAATCATATGGTTCTTAGCTCTTTATGATTGACTGATTTCCATTGGCATAATATTCTCAAGATCCATCCATGTTGTCGCAAATAACAGCATTTCATATTTTCTTATGGCCGAGTAGTATTCCATTGTGTGTATGTACCACGTCTTCCTTATCCAAACTTCTACCAAAGGACACTTTGGTTGTCTCCATGTCTTGGCTACTGTGAATAATGCTGCAATGAACATAGTGGTGCATATATTTTTCTGAGTAAATATTTTCAAGGTTTTTTTGGTAGATACCCAGAAGAGGGATTGCTGGCTCATATGGTAACTCTATTCTTAATTTTTTGAGGAACTTGCATACTGTTTTCCATAGTGGCTGTACCAGTTTACATTCCTACCAGCTGTGAATGATGGTTCCTTTTTCTCCACAACCTCTCCAATACTTGTTATTACCTGTCTTTTTGGTAACAGCCATTGTAACAGGTGTAACAGTGGTATCTTACTGTAGTTTGGATTTGCATTTCCCTAACAGCTATTTAAGTTGAGCATCTTTTCATATATCTTTTGGCAATTTGTATGTCTTCTTGGGAGAAGTGTCTGTTTGGGTCTTCTGCCCATTTTTTAATTGGATTGTTTGTTTGGTGGTGAGTTGTATGAGATTTTTATATATTTTGTATATGTTGGAGCTGTTTGCAAGTATCTCCCATTCAGTTGGTTGCCTTTTTTGTTTTGTTGTCAGTTTGTTTTGCTGTGCAGAAGCTCGTTAGTTTGATATAGTTCCATTTGTTTATTTTTGCCTTCACTTCTCTTGTCTTTGGGGTCAAATTCATAAAATGTTCTCTACCATCAAGGTCCATAAGTTTAGTGCCTTTGTTGTTTTCTATGCAATTTATTGTTTCAGATCTTATGTTTAGGTCTTTCATCCATTTTGAATTAATTTTTATATTGTGGCACAAACTATAGTCTAGTTTTATTCTTTTGTGTATGACTTTCCAATTTTCCCAGCACCATTTATAGAGTACATTTTCTTTTCTCCATTGTGTGTTTTTGGCTCCTTTGTCAAAAATTATTTGCCCATATTCATGTGGTTTTATTTCTGTCTCTCAATTCACTTCCATTGGTTTGTGTGTTTGTTCTTCTGCCAATCCCATGCTCTGTAGTACAATTTAAAGTCACACATCTGGCTTCTTTTTTCTCAGCATTGGTTTGGCTATTTAAGGTCTTTTGTAGTTCCATACAAATCTGATGTGTTTGTTCTATTTCTTTAAAAAGTGTCATTGAGATTTTAATGTGGATTGTATTAAATCTGTTTATTATTTTAGTCATTGTTTTAGGTAACATGGCATCTTAACCATGTTGATTATTTAAGTCCATGGACTTAGAATATCAATTCCATTTTATTGTGTCTTTTCCAATCTCTTAATAATGTTTTGTAGTTTTTAGTATATAGGTCCCTCACAGCCTTTATTCCTAGGTATTTTATTCTTTTGGTTACATTTAAAAAGGAATTGTTTTTTCATTTCTTTTCCTGAAATTTTATTGTTAGTATACAGGAAAGCAGTATACTTTCTGCTACAGAAAGTACAGTGGATTTTTGTGTGTGTGTGTCCTGAAACTGTACTTTATTTATTTATTTTTTGTAATTATTTTTTTCTGGAGTCTTTAGGGTTTTCTATATACAGAATCATGACAGCTACAAAAAGTGATGCTTTTATTTCTTCATTCCTAATCTGGATGTCTTTTATTTCTTTCCCTTGCCTGACCGTTCAGGCTAGGACTTCCAGAACAATGATGAATGAGTGGTAAGAATGGGCATCCTTGTATTGTCCTGATTTTAGAGGAAAGCTTTCAGTTTTTCACCATGCGGTATAAGATTAGCTGAGGGCTTGTCATACACCTTTATTATGTTGAGGTACTTTCCTTCTATGCCCATTTTATTGACTGTTCTACATAAACGGATGTTGTATCTTATCAAATGCTTTTTCTGCATCTATTGCTAAGATCATATGATTTACCATTTGTTTTGTTAAAGTGGTGTTTTACAATGATCACTTTCCATATGTTGAACCATCCTTGTGCCCTTGGAATGAATCCCTCTTGATCGTGATGTATTATTGTTTTAATGTATTTTGTTTAGGGTTTTTGCATCTGTATTCATCAGATGTATTGGTCTATAGTTTGTGTGTATGTGTGTTATCCTTGCCAGGGGTTAATATCAGGGTTGTGTTGGCCTCATAAAACATTAGGAAGTATTTCCTCTTCTATTTTTCAGAAGAGTTTGAGAAGAATAGGTGTCAAATCTTCTTTGAATGTTTGGTAGAATTCACTAGTGAAGACATTTGGTCCTAGACTGCTATTTTGAGGGGAGATTTTGATGGTGTTTTCAATTTCCCCACTGCTGATTTAGCTTTTCCAGTTCTTCATGAGTCAGTCTAGGAAGGTTATGAATTTTAGGACTTACCCATTTCTTCTAGGTTATTGAA